ACAACCAAACTCTCAAGTTGAGACCTTTTATGAAACGGGTCTATGGGCATTAAAGCACATATGACAAGAGTACATGAAAGGAGATCGAAAGCAGAGATGGTGATCTACATTTCTGTTAGTGGCGATTAGTGAACTTTTGGAGTGATACTTTAGTCAGTATCGACATGAATTTTATACAGTTGGATGTATCAACGCACCGTTATACCGCGAAAGCCGATCGTGTTGCTGGTAAACTTGTTTGTTGCTAAAAGGCGTATAAAAAACAGTCTACAGGCTACTAAGCAAAAAATTTTAGCACGTATGCGGTAGGTACCATATACTCATAACTTCTGCTTAGACATGGCATTTAGCTAAACCAAACTTTACAAGGGCTCTCAGGACTTTTACCAAATCCACTAACTTAGAGCCCCGACAATAACACCAGCGATTATTACCTCTGGTACGTTTAATAACTTGAGCCCCTCCCGTCACGATGCCCCTTAACCGCAGAGGTCTGTATTCTGTATTCTGCAGCGGATTGTTTGGTCTGTTCACACCCCGCTACCTTCAAACAGATCTTAGGCTGTCCCGACTTTAATTGCTGAATGACATCCGGGCATCAAATGTTCTGTATAATAATTTGTTCGACTTGTTGACTGCTTTATTTGAAGTTTAGTCTGCTATGCTGTGTGCGTTTGCACTGAGACATTTTCAGCAGATCAACCACCTTTTTTGGAATCTGGTCCGAACGCACAGATAATTCAATAACACTATAATTTAGTATTTAGCACAGCAAATGGACGAAATTTCCCCACTGAGGCTGGAAAATGTTGACAAAGGTTTCTCAACTGAGTTCGGTCCATTAATGGGCCAATACAGTGTATGACCCAGATAATTTCCCACCGGAATCCGCCCATGGCAAAGTGCCAAAATCCAAAAACGCCGCCAATGCATAGGGGAGTGTGTTTAAGTGGTCATATCATGGAAACTGGGTAACTTAAAGACTTGTGAGAGACATCATTTCTAATGTTCAATGGCATTGTAATTCATTTGAAAATAGTTTGAAAGTCATCTGAGGTCAAGGTCATGCCGAAATGTCAAAGTCAATCACGAAAAAGGACCAAAACAATTTCAAATACAACGGAAACCTTCTTTATTCTTTCAGAAATGATTTTTACAAATTTTTTCAAGATATTAAAACTATTATATTTATCCATGTTAATTTTGTTCCTCTGGTGATATGAACTTTGGATTCAATTATACTATAAAACCGTATGTGAAATTTCACTGTTTTGTATATATTTTTATATTTCTTGACAGATGACGTGCGTCCATATCTCCTACGCATTGTTTTCAGTACGTATGACAGACAAAGATGAGAAAAAGGTCATATTTGCCTATCTCTTGGTTGTATACCACTGCAATCAAGTAACTATTATCTGTTGATCTTTTGTTTAGATAAATTGAGAATATTCTTTATTGAAAAGCATTTGTGAAGGAATTTTAACCAACCTTTTACCATTGTGCACAATACAAAAAACGTTGATCAATGCGCAGTGTAGCGTTGACAATACCTTAAGTGCATCTCTCTAGTAAATAATTAAAACAAAATGATTAAAGGACCCACAGTGCTCAATACTGTCAAGAGAGAGTACGTTGACAGAACAGGGAATATATTTTGGTAAAATTCGAACCAATACGGTTTGAGTAGGTTCATATTTTCATGCAAAAAAAATCAAAAGTATTCACACTCGCTTGTCCCCGTGTCTTCGAGTTCTTACTCGTGAAATTCTTTTAAAAACGAACAGTTAAAGGTCGGGTCCAGTGACCTCCATGAATTTAGTTTGAAGGGTACTTTTTACATTGTTTTATACCATATTCAGCTGTGGTAAAAAGACAGGTCATTTGAAAAAGGTGAAATGAGAATCAAATTTAAGGCTCAGTGTGGATGCACGTGACATCTACGTCCTATTACAATAAAATAATAACAAATAGATCGCACGCGCGAAGTCTAACAAACAACAGACGTGGACTTCTAGGGACTGTCATTACCTTAATCTCTGTCACTCTTAAACGTTTTTTGGATGCAGTAACCATCCTTCCAAAGAGGAAATAGTTAAATAAATAAATAAAACAGTTTGGTAGAAATTAAAATGGGCGACGGTTTAGTATCTTCGTGACGTATGCTAAACCTAGAAGTTAAACTTGCCGAAAAGCTAACGTTGTTGCCAACTCATGATGTTAATTTAGACGAAATCATAGATCTGGAGTCATCAGTTCATCTGACACACGACACCTTACCTTCCTTGCAAATCCACCTCACTTTCATCTAACAGTCCAACAACATTTGGAGGAGAACCAGAAGTACCAAAACAGCATGGCATCATTTGCAGAAAACTTATATAACGCCAACGTTCCATTCCCTAATATCCTTTTCTTAGGCCTTTGATGTCTACCAGAGTCCCTCTCCAAAATATTTGTATTGAAAGAAAAATCATTGCAAAAAACTTCTAAAAAGCCTGATGCATCTCCGGTCCTTATAGTGCTTTTCAAGCACTTGAGGCAATTGATTTCATGGTGTTTCGCCTTTGCTGTCTTCATCCCCTCTTTATCGCGATTTGCCGTTCTTAGTGCGGGTAATTAAATAAAGAGCAAATTGCAGGCAACCAGGAAGAGTTCGGTTTTCAAAATTGCCTTAATATACCAATTTTCAACATAACTCAGCTCATACTTAATGCAATTTAGGCCGGACGTGGACCGCTTCAAATTTGGCATTATTTATTAGCGTATTATCAATTTATAGATGGAATTACAGTAAACAGTTTAGCTTGCCTAGAAGTGACCTTTCGGTATCGTAATAACTTTATTTTGACTCATCAGTTGCCCCGATGAGGCACCATGGAGTCTTTCTAGTTTCATATAATTTTGATCTCTTATTGGATTCATAAAATGTATGTTGCGAATATTAAAGCTTTAAAAGATGTGAACTGTCTTACATGCACATGTCGGTTCGAATGATCCAAGGGCCGAGTCGTCGGTTGGGGGGGGGGGGCGTTCCATGCGTCCTTTTAGCTGTACATACGTTTGTTGATTTGAGAAATTGCAAGTTTGGTTCCAATTTCAAGACATCATATCTCTCGTTTTGAAGAAAAAAAATGACGAAGATACCAAGCGAAGCAGTTTAACCGCGGTTTAAGAACCATCTTTTAATTAGACATACAACGATTTTCTACACTACATTGTTTTGAAAAATAAATTACTGTCTCATTTAACCTAATAGAACCTTGTATCAAATTGTACAAAGAGGAATTTTCAGATTAATGCATGTAGAAACATTAAATATAATAAGTTAAGAGCGTTAAATCCAAATATTTTCAGTAGTTGTAACAATGTGAAATACAAGTGAAACATTGGTATATATAAAATTAACGGTAAGTTCTTTCCTTACAAATGAAAGCCGGAATTTCCGTAAAATGATACATCTTCAGCTCCTTTTTAAAAACCTCAGGGAAAGTGGAAGTGCGTCTGTTGCTGCTACCTTAAATAAATGGACTGGCATTACATGGCGTTAGAATGAGAAGCATGTAGCAGAGGGAGCCTGTTTTATATAAATATGGTTGAGCTAAGTTGGAAAATGCAGCGCGGGCATAAAGTAAAAGTTTAAAGAGAACCCGTGCTCTTATGAGTGACCACTGAAGTTGTTTAAGGACAGGCGTGATGTAACTGTCACCAGTTATGTTGGTAAGGACACGAGCAGAGATAGTTTGAATGCATATACATGTACATCCGTCGAGAAGAGAATAACAGTAGTCCAATCTAGATGTGACACAAGCATTTGTGATAGCATCAATGGAGGAGCCACTGAGATGGTTTCGCAATAACGTTATGTTTTTGTTGTTAACACGCACGACTAAGAAGCGTGTGTTGTCTGAGATGTGTGTTTGTCTGTCCACAGGGAGATGTCCACATATACACCTAGATGTTTAGCATTAGAGGAAACATTTCACCATACTTTTATCAATCTAAATGCTAAGGCTTTTTTATTTTTTTCTATTTATTTATTTATCTTTTATTTTTTATTTTATTTTATTTATTTTATTTTATTTTATTTTTTTATTTTTTTTTTTTTTTTGAGGCTGTGTGCATGATGACCATGGATTCCGTTATCTTATCATTGATCATCAGTTTATTCTTAACCATCCAGTCTCCAAGATCTGAGATACAGGTTCCCATTTGTGAAAAGGATATTACAGACTTCTTGATGTTGCAGCTGAGTATCATCAGATACGGACTAGGCTTTTATATCTGCCTTTGTAGAATATTTTATTGAAACTGCATTACTAAGAAAACCCCTTAACGCGTCGATAGGAGTAGGATTGAAATTTCGCCCACAACGTATTTGATTTGTACAATACTGGCAGCGTGATTGTTCTATGAAAGTACTTCTTGCTTTTGGATATATGGAAGGACAATACTGCCAGGTACCCCTTTATTAATAGTAATCTCAGCTCAATCTCAAGTTTTTATTCAATGCCATGCTGAGAACGAGTCAAACATAAGACACTGTCCTGTCTAATTTTGGTTTTAATATCTAAACAGAAAAAAATCATAATGGTTCACATGTCTGACCTTTAAATCAGGCTCAGGCAAGCAGAAGAAATTCCAAAAATTTGAGTCGGCCCACACGTTTTTTTTTTTTTAAACAACAATATCGTGTCTAGAAAGGTTCTAGTAGCCTGCAGCCCTGGCGCCTTGTGATACACGCAGGGTTCTTCATACCGTTGTTACTTCACCGTATTAAGGCCGAGATCATGCAATTCTATGCACGCAACTGCCGTGCTGAAGCAAGGAATTGCATCAAGATATGCATCATCACTTGAAGATACAGTGTAACATATTACATCGTAAGTGTGATGTGGATTGCCGTTCAATACTGCTGTCATTACGATCGGTTTAATAAATTAATCACGGGTAATTCTGGAATCCAAACTTAATAACTCAACTAGATATTCAAAACATACCTTTGCAATATCTGTCTCTTGCAATGGTGTTGCAGCCCGTGGCGTCGTCTTCGGTCTGAACTTCCGCTGTGAAAGCTCGTCGATAGCGCGACTGGTTATAAGGAACCTTGATTCAATGAAAGGGGCGGTCTCAAAACGTGTTTTTGGCAAAACATTGAAAGAGCCGAGGTTCCTTGCTTTATCATAGCCAGTGACTGGAATCTCGAAGGGAATTTAGAAAGGGCGGTAAACTAGGTAACTGGTAATTGTGAATATCGTAATCCTATTCAAATAACCAATCGTGCTCATAAAAAGTCTTTCTCGGGCATGACGCTGGTAGCTAATTTGTTTGACACATTCATCGAAATACACGTGTAAATTACACTGTAGTTTAGAATTAACATGTGACCACGCTCAATTCATCTAACATATACGGGTTGAATATCAACTTTCCACGAATGCATGCACAATGGACATTTTCTGTCAGGATCTTGGCGTCGCTCTTGCCTAGACAACGTAACTGAAGGCGAAGATTTTGTATAATTCAATGAGCACAATTAAATGAGCACTATCAAAATATACCTGGTATAAAAGACTTAAATTAAAATGCTTTAGTGCGTTATACCACAGCGATCATCTACATGGAAAAGAGCGACATTTAAGGTATAGTACATGTTGGTGTTCAAGCATCCCTGTAGCAATAATTTCGAAAATAATAATATTCTGGGTTTGTTACCGAATTTCAAAGAAACTCCTAGAACACAATAAGGCAAATGAGATTTTTATAAGCAAATCATCGTTACACAAAACGCCACAAGTGAATGCGCGCTTTCGCACAGTGGCATCAGTGGCCCAAGTTTACAAAGGATGGTTTTCATCTCTGCAGAGCGTCCTGAATAACGTACCTGGGGGATTCACGCTGTAACAGAAACTAATATTATAAAACCACCCAGCGTAGATACACCTACGTGTTATTGAAGCCTTAGCTATCACATTACAAGGATACACAGCTGTTCCCCTAACCAGACAATTTCATAAATGAGGACCTTCGAACATGTTATGCCACAAATACGTATACCTTATTCAGATGCATTTTGACAAACGTCAAACCAACTTGGACAATATTCTGGCCCCTGATGAATAAGATATCGTTGAACCTTCATGCAATACACAACTGGGGTAAATACTCCCCCCCCCCCCCCCCCCGACCTTTAAGATATGGAAAGATATTGAGTAATGCATTTAACCACATCCATGTCCTCAACAGACTGGGGTAGAAAAAAAATACAGCTCAACCTAATACTTTACATACAACCCCCCCCCTCCCAACAAACCCCTACCCACACCCACATCCAAACCACTGCGAGTGATAAAATATCGCCAAACACTTAACGTTAGGCAATAACACACAGCAGTTATTATAACCAATGACGTCATTGTATAAGATGCCATTCCCAGAGACTAAGGCCCCATTCAGAATAGGGGACTAACTAGTCCGAGGGTCTAATATGGCTGACCCACTTGAACACTTCCCCACGGGATATCTATTCAGTGTCTCTTAGCGGATTAGACGGCAAGCTTTGTAGTGGGTCGCCATATTTGACCCTCGGACTAGTAAGTCCCTATTCTGAATGGGGCTTAACATCCTAACTTTGGACCGAACTATCTCCAAGGGGATTCTCGCTTAATTGCAATTAACTTAAGCGGCTTAGATATCTGTCACGCTTACTGAAGCTGATAGGGGGTAATTAACTATCGTTTAGTAGCTTAAGTGGGCTTCCCAGACGTCTAAGCCACTTAAGCCGAAAGCAATTTAGCGAGAAACCCCGTGGAGATGGACCGATCCTGTCAGATCGATCTAGGATGGGAACCCAGTCTAACAGTCACCAGTCTTCCCTGGGGACCTCACATTAAAACTGGGATGCATTTCAATAAAACTCACATTGCACTTGACAAACTGAGCAGAAAAACGATAACGGGCCATGTGTGTAATTATGTCACGTTTCTTTAATCTATCGTAGTGTTGATAAACAGATAATTTAATTACCAACGGATGCACTCTGGGGTGTGTTATGAAATATTCATTAAGATCCGAACCATAATGAACAGAAGGCGACTTGGAGTATGTCTAGGAAACAAAATGGACTCCGTATCAAAAAGCAGTTCTTAATGCCTTTTAGTCAATGATTCAATTTTTTAATACGCACCAACAAGCCAAGCATATTGAGCCGGTGTGACAGAAATGGTAGGTCTAAGAAAGGAATCAGGGGGCCCTTATGATAAGTTTAGGTCAGGGTAAGTCGGAAGTATTGGGGCTGGTATAAGGCGCAAATGTCAACTGTATTAAGTAATGGGGAACGGACTACGGTTCCACTCCAGTTTAGGGCAGGAGTAAATTTCAAAGAGCAGTAAATCTGTTGGGATGATTGGGATACAAATAGGAATACCGTCCAAGCACAATCCGATGATTCATGATCAACGCCCACTCGGCGCTATAAAAGGTATCTATGACTCGGCCAGAAAACGAGCGTAGAATTTGTAATAACATGCGCGATATCACAGCAACCAATATTGAAACGGTTATTATCTCTCCTTACGTGGCCCTAAACGGTTTGTAAGCATAGGATTGAGCGTGAACTATTGTTTCAATATAAAGAAACAATCATGTCGATATGTCCATACGTAACCGTTGCAGTCCCCTTGTGATTATATAGTATGAAATGTTCAGTACGCATTTAAAAGTAGCATACCATATCGAGGAAAAGAAATGACAGAAATACACACTCATACCCGTGCTAAAGTAATTTGGGCCTATATTGCTTACAGTATGATCAGCACTTCTTGCAAGTATTATTAAAAAGAATTAGTACCTTACCATGTTCTTCACGGCCAAAGTTTGCTGGTAAATATAAGTATTCACGGTGAGGTAATATTGCCTGCCCACTTGAAGCTATGTTCCGTGTTTGGGCCAACGTTATGTGATTAACATTTCAGGGCATTGGTACAATAATATTTAGAATCATTTTATGAAGGTTATCATTTTCACTATGTAAAAATAAGAAGGAAAGTCTTTTTCTAGATCAAATATACATATGTTAACAGTTTCAACAATTAGTGTGTGTGTGTGTGTGTGTGTGTGTGTGTCAGAGAGAGAGAACGAGAGAGAGATACGTAAGCCAAAAAATCAAGGACAATAAAATGAACTCAGTGTCTCCAAAACATCACTAGTAATAGAATGCGATTCGTGTGTCAGTCGTAATTGTAAAAAGATCCTGTCTGATTTGACGTGCTACTTTGACAAATATAATACTAAGAAACACCCACTTCGTCTCATTTAATGAAGCACGTACCGGAAAACGTGCTCTTTGGAACAGTAAATGACAAACAGACAAAGCTAAATCTAGCTAGAGGTTGTATGTACATAATCAAATTAATCAATCATACAAAATACATTGTAGTCGAAGATAGTAGATATTAGTTAAACACACGATCTCTGTAATAATAAAACGCGTAAAAGGAATTCCTTTTTTTTTCAGTTTGACATTTTAATTTAATTATAAACACAGTCAGATGCAGACTACGGGTATACATATACATCATGTACAACTGTACAGTCAAACTAACAAATAAGAGAGCCTTGATAATTGTTATTATCATGTCTCTGAGCAGATGTGTCTGACGTGATTGGTCAAGAAATACCGAACAAATATGGAATGATATCCAATCTCCAAAGAGTTTTTCTTTCATATAAAATATCGATTGTCCTACGCAGCACTTTCCATACAGTAGAATTTACATGTGAACCTCCTTAAAAGAGGCTGTCGATACTGCATGACGTCATACGAGACTAGCAAACGTGCTAGAATCTGCGAGAGTTGTAGTTAACAGTTTGGAAACAAGGGTAAAACTCTATGTATTTCTGTTGTGAAATAAGTGTGACGCTATGCGCTGGGTGCCAATTATGCTGTCAAGTTAGGTCCTCGCCCATAATTACAATAATATTGATATGTTTCTGACCAAAAATAGTCTTCAAAATATCAGAATCCACTAGAGCGACACACGGAATTGAAGCATTTTCAAATGCACTAACCCAAATGCATGAAACTCGTCGCATGTCTCATAATACCGAAATCCGAACTTTTTGTACAAGCGAATTGCAGGTACGTTGACTGCATTAACGGCAAGAACCACTTCTTGGTAGCGATGTTCTTTGCAAAACCCTAAGGCTGTTTTGACTAATTGGTATCCAATACCACATCCACGAAAGGCTTTTCCAACGGTGATTCTTTTCAATTCCGCTGTTGTCTCTGATACCTTTTCCACAGCGGCAGTTCCAATTATTTCCTCATCATAGGTGGCCACCAACATTTGGGTGTCTGGACGTTGGTAGTAAGCCCAAAAGTTCTCATTGCTTTCGTTGTGACAACTAGATTCGTACTGTTCTACCGCATAGAGAAAACTGATGTAGCCACCGCATACAGCTGTGGCAAACGATAAACAAACTGACAACACGAGTGTCCCGGTGTTATGATACAAAAGCAAAGTACTTATGGTTATTAGTCAACAAACTGCAGGATTCATGACAAACTTCTTCAAAAATGGGTAACGGTCGGCATCCGATAAGTTTCTTATAACCATATTCCAAAGCAGTGGCCCCTCTTCCATACGAGGTGGACGTACATTCAGTAGGTCTTTGTTCAGCTCCAACATCTTTTCAGTTTCTATTACCTACGACAGTGGATTATTATAATTGTTATGAATTACATTAATAACACGCATTAGTTAATTTGGGGTTAGATATTCATGTTATTTCCCGACTAATTTAATGCATCTAACCCGATGTTATTACAGTAACTACGCATTACATGTACGACTGAAACAATTTTTCAAAATGGCTAGCATTTACCAGGCATATTCTGAATGTTTGCAGCAGTCAAAAGATAGCCAGTCTTTTGAATTCTGGTTAGAGTTTTTAGGTGGCGGAGTTTACTTGAAGTGTTCATGGTCGGTGCATCAGTTTTTACAGTGGTTGAATGCTCTAGGTACTGGTTGACAACAAAGTGCACTTTAAACCATTGCACTCTTATACACTGTGGTGTACCTTGTAGGACGGACACAGGTACATGTACATATAATCACATACAAATTGAGCAAATGTGAATAAAGTGAAATATTTGTGATTACCAGACAGTATAATCTCATTATTTTTGGTTTATGGTATTATGCATGGTTAATAGACAAAATATGTTTTAAACCCACTGGAATCGGGGGGGGGGGGGGGGGGAGGGGAGAAATGCTTTAAAGAAGGCTCAGCATTATTGGTGTACCAATCCCATCCTTACTGTATCAAATGTTACATAAAGTTCAGTCAAGAGTATCCAAATACTTGCAATATGTATAGTTCAAAAAACGTACATATGGCTCTTGTATTTCTCTTTGGACTTCTATAGTTCCGAATGCTGCATCCAACTCCATTGATATCTAAATCAGCATAACGCCTGGGGTTTGAATTAAGCTCGATATCTACAAACTTAATGACAGTGAAATGATTCAAATTTTTAGCCAGTTTTAATGGGAATATAATTTTTCGGACGGCTCGAGGCCATGTTGGATTTACGAAATAACATCGATATGGTTCTTAAAAGCAATCGGATGCATAAAGACAAATGTCTAGTGCATAACTGGGCTGAGGTAGGGGTGTAAGATCAGATCATACGGTATATACTAAAATGTATATGCAGTGTTAGAAATTAAGGCTGGACTGTCTGCCCAGGGCTGACAACTTTCAGAACAAACGGAGAAGTTTTCCTATCCGGCAGGCATTCAATCCAGCTACTTTTCAAGATGGCTGGACTTTCGGTCCAGTAACTAATTTTCCTAAGAGGCAAACACTGTGTATATGTGTACGGTAATCAGCTATTATTTGCGATTTTTAATGTTTCCCATGCAGGTATTCTTCGGGGCTTTTTACATGATGCTTTTCACACTTCAAGGACATGCATGGCGATATACGGACTTATAGGTGTCATAGGTATTTTCTTTGCTGATATGCATTGACTAAGGTTATCAAACCACGTCACCTAGCTTCATTTTCTTAACAATTCAAATACACCAGTACTTAAGCAATAGCCAGGTTGTTCTGTGCGCTTATATTTAAAAACGTGGCAGCTCCCCTGTATCTCGTCATCTGCAACCATTTAAGAAGAGTTATACCTCAGCCATGCGATAATGACGTGAACGATAACTAGCAAGGGCAATACGTATTACTTACCTGTCATCAAATCAGCGAGAGAGAGAATGAAAATAAGACTATGATCTAACATGAGCTCCGGCGTCAAACTGGGTCAACGGTTGGGGCTGCATCACACTGGTCGCTTGAAGGCAGTGCATTGATAAGGGAATTACAAGTCATTGATAAACATTTGCCTCAGATCGAGGATAAACTTTTTTATCCTGCAAGTACAGGTATATCGGGTTGTTCTATGCTCTCACCTCACCACGAGACACTTGTCACACTCGCTATCTTCCTGGTGCACGAAGACGCGAGACCGACGTGACGGAAAATTTATTTCGACTTCAAAGCAGTACAGTGTATTGTCGAATTTAGTCCAGGGTCTATCTGGCCCTGATCTTTCCGCCAGCTTATAGATATGTTTTAATGTGTAATGCTACAGTAATACTATACAACAGCCTGGAGGCTAACAATATTTATTATAAAAAAACTAAATGATATGTTTCAATATAGACATGTGCATATGTTGCAACATTACACCATAAGTAAATAAAGAAAAAATTTAATGACATACCCGCGTTACTGAAAGGTGGTTTAGGTAAAAAGTATAAGATACAATGGTCTTATGGAAAATAAATGAGCACACGTATACAGTCTAAAATTTACATGAGCCAGCTGTAAGAAAACGCTCCCAAAATGCCGTCGACGTACTGGCATTCTATCGGTAAGAAAGGGAGACACAGCCGTCCGGCCACCCAAACCTTACTACCTCATAGAATTTGACTTTGTAAGAGGGGCGGACATGTATTTCGGGTGCTACGATACATTGTAAAATTATACCAAGAATTTTAAATAAACAGAGTCGGCATCACAAGAAATGCAGAACATTGAGTATATCGCCGTCTGCACCCATTCAAGAAGAGTTATATACCTCAACTATATGCAAAAATGCCATGGATGATAAATGGAAAGGGCAATACGTGTTACTTAACCTATCATCAAAATAGGTGCATTTTAATACTTTGGTGAAAAAGGCTGAAAAATTTCAAGTCTTAAAAGAAACTATAACATACAGCAAGGCATACCTATCAAAAGCAAATTACTTTTAAGTAATATTAAAATATTAATGTAATAAGATAACATCATTTCAAGAAAAGATAAAAAGTTATGCATACATTTTAGTTGAAGTAATGGCAACAATCTACAACAAATAAAAATTCTAACAAAATTATAACAAAATTAATGAAATTTAAAATAGGCAAAGTAAAGGTTTAACTCATTATTTCCCTAATATCAATGATGGAATAGGTTTGTGTCGATTTTAATCCTTAAAATAGAGACTGACAATGGTGGTAGGAAAAATGCACGATTACATTAAGGTTCCATAATCTTCCATCAAAAAATAAGCGAGTACGTTTATGTAGCTCAATAGAAATATGACAGAAATATGAGAAAAGACAATAGCCAGTTGCTTTAAACTAGCAGTTTGCAGAGTGGGTTGTAAAGACGAATGAGGAGAATGACAACTACATGTAATTTACAAAAGATATTGAAGAATGGGAACAAGCTGATGTGAGAGACAAGAGCGGGGAAACATATTCCAGCAACCTGATTGGTCGTAATGGCTGAAGAATTGCTTTATTTTGTTTGTCTCGGGTTTGTTTCTATCACACTGGCTTTCTTTATGTCACAGGTAAGACACTTTAAAAAGACTACTACAAAAATGAATTATATTGCGTCGATTTATGCATTATAATTTGGTATTATATTCTTGCTTCTCCTGATCTTCAGCAATGTATCCTAAATTATAAAGCCCGTTCTCTTTTGGGTCGCCCAATTCATTTTCAACTTCCTCTTCGTGGTGCTCTTCTTCCTGTTTCGGTATGCAGGAGGCAAAAAAGTCATACTTTTTTGGCAAAATTTCCCGAGCAAAAAGCACGTGGAATATCAACGACACTATCACTATGGAGAGGAAACTGACAAGCATGCTGAACGTTTTGAAGGGAAATCTTTGAGCGCTGTTCTCAAAGTCGTACCATGGGTATAGAATAAACGCAGCAAGATTAAATGTCGCTTCCCCACCTCCAAGACGAAGGATCCAGCCAATTATATACCTGAAATATGAAAGCACGCCTTGAAATTTGATAAAATTGCGACAGTTCAACAGACACTCGATCTACATGTATACAAGTAAAGGCATTGAAGCCGTCAAATTGGCACAATGGGGGATCCAGGTGAATTTCGGACCACATTATTCCAAGCGCTTTTTTGTAAGAATCCTCCGACGACATGAGTACTATTGGAAACACAACATTGAACAATGATGTACTTAAACGGCAATTCATAACCTACCCAGTTAAAGCTCCGTACATATTGGCCTGCTTGAGGTATATCACACATACAAGTTGGGGGAAAAGGATAACGTAGACAAAATCAGAGCACAAGACGAACAGATCGTATATTGAGGTGATGTAGATGCCCATTGCTGCAGCCGCCGCTCCAAAGACCACAACTGCTACACGCATTAGCCAAACAACTTCCAGCTCGGAAGCCTGAAATGGCAATTTTCACAGTACAGGGTAGGAGTATATATAGAGGATTCTGTGTTCCTTCTGGAATGATTTCATTACAAAAAAAGCGTCAGTTAGAACTGAAGTACATAGTGTACGTGTACGTACACTTCCTCATTGACTGTCAAGTACAATTTGGCTTCCTTACGCCATTCTATTCGTGACTGGTTCATATTCTATAATGTAATTAATGACTAAGTGATTATGTCGTCATGATCTGACACTGAATACAAGGAAATTGTACTTCATTACATATAATAATAAAAACGCACCCTTGTCCCATTCAACAAAGCAACGGTTTAATTAAGCATTTGGACGGAAGTGGTGTTAAAATAAATCGAATCCAAATGGCAAGTTCAATTGGAGACAAAAAGGTACAGTTCTGAATGATTTGCATTTACGTTTACATGGCGGTAAAATAACTAGGATATCTTTATTGTCAATATAGTATCCAAAAAATCGCTGATGCTTAAATAAAAACAGTTACAGGAATCCATTAGGTTTTCTTTTTTTTTTCACAAAAATGCAATTAATGACTTATATATCACTTCGCCCTTCCCATTAGATCCCATGTTTTGTACCATTTCTATTTTAAGAACTAAACGAAGAGTAAGACTTAATTAAGATACTTTTTTCGGAATCGCTTTAGCGTTTAAACTGTCTGAATTGGAAAAGTAGCTTTGGAGATTATTTATAAGTAAATATGTGAGGTTGGAACACAAAGAAACTGTATACATTTAACGTGCATTAGAACCATTTGTACAAAAACCGGAATACCCAAACAATGCAGTAGTTACCAATTCACCTTTGGACAAAATCCTTTAATTGTAAAGAAAATGAACATGCAGTAGGTGCGCAAATGGTCTCAACTAAAGCAATTCAAAAATATAGATGCCAAAGAAAACACATGCCTTCTTCCCGCGACACATGAACTCCCTCAATGGTCTATACACATTGTGAGAAAAGAGTGAGCTCATGGACAAAATGGCGGAGTCAGTAGATGACATCACAGCGGCGGAGACGGCGCCTAGCCCGATGAAAGAGACGACAGGGGGCGTAAGATACTGCAAGACAAGCGGCAAGATGTTCTTGTATTCTTCTGAAGGGACTGTAGTCCGATTGTAAACATCGACGTAAGCAGTCTCTGTCCAATCTGTAATATAAGAAGAGGTATTTGTATGAAATGTCCAAATATATCTGCGCAGTTAGGACAAATTACTGAACAACAATGACGCGTTAATTGGTTGTTTAAGGTTTTATCGTTGCAAAAGCTGACTGCTTATAAATATAAACCATTTCCAATTGGTGAAGTACCTTGTATGTAAAAAAAGCCCCCATAAGCGTATTTCTTTAATGTTTAAGCAACCAGTGTGTTTTATACTTGATTTCTGAAATGTTTTAACATTTCAGAACATTTTAACATTCACATGCACAGTGGCGGATTTAGGGGGTCAGGGGGGTTTTGAGCCCCACCCTCTTCAACTTCTGAAAAAAAATCACACCAATATTCCTCTTTTGAAATTAGAAATTTGGCTATCTGAATCATAATCAATTAATCCTGGATCCGCCCTTGCATACGCGCGAGGACTACATGAATGTACTCAACACGTTATTGCCATTCTATGTTTTTTTCCTTGCCTTTTAACCTACTACACCACCACCATCTATCCACATTTCTCGACTTACTTGTTGAGGCTCCAATGGCTCCAATCATTACAGCTGGAACAGCACATACCACACATAAAAAGCCAGCTACAATAGATAACCATTTTGCCTGATTCACCGTCTTTGCAGAGAGCACCCGTTGAAAGTATACCTATGTAACGAAAACACAGTAGACAGAGACAGAGTTGCTTTGATTGTTTTACTTTCATTTTGTTATTATTTCTCTCTTTCCTTCTTGTTTTTTGTCATTAAATTAAATTCTACTTTTCTTGTCTATTTAACTCATTTTGTCTCTGTGATGTAATGATGTAATAAGTCACGTGATGTAGGTCAGAGGTCATGAGTGTGAAGGGAAAGTGGGGATGCGACGTGGCATATGAGCCATGGACTTTTAATTCTGTGATAAATATTTTAATCATTTTGTTTCAATACCATATCTGGCGACAAGGAAGGAACAGACTCACAAAGGAAGGAAAGTAACAATTAAGAATGGATACTCTTAAAAAAACAAACATTGACTATAGCGAAATTCAATGAGCGCAGTATAACTCAATATACCCTGCGTTGAACAGTCACAATGGCGAGCCCATCTATACAGATACCTACTTATCATGAATTTGACTGTAAGTCAGAAGGCGTTGCCATTAGATGGAGAAAATGGATAAACAGATTGAAAAACAATGCATTTGTTGGTAATGGTATAACAAGTCCGATAAAGAAGAAGGCACTCATGCTATCTTTCGCCAGCGACGAGTTAAATGACATCGTCGAATCTTTCAGCACATTTCAACTAACCCCCGGCGAAGGAGAAGATGAGTTTACGAAATGTGTTGATGCTATCACTGACTATTTTTTTACCTTCCATCAACGTTTAATTGAATAAATTTTCATTTCGACACGCTACGCAGAAAGGAGAGGACATTGACGAATTTTATAGAGAGCTTCAAGATATTGCTAGCACACAAACAAATAACAGACAATTGTTTACCATATTTTTGTACTTATAAATGTAAATTAGGTATAAAATCGTGCTCTAATAACTTTTAATAATCCTTAAACATCCCTTTGATGTTACTGTGACATCCATCCTTTAACTGAATTCGTCAATGAAGCAAACAAAGACCCCAGGCTGATTAAAAACGACATTTTTGATCTCTAACATTCCCCTTATTACTATAGACGTGGTAGTACATGTAATTTAAATGGTAGCGTGACACCTGACCACACACTTCTCCATCCTCATGTCTTATATGAGATCTGAGCTTTTTCTAATGCATTTTGCCAAGGAATTCCCTTGAAACTGAAATAGCCTAGTCTATATGTAAAGGTTCTTGTCTGTTTACTTGTATTTTTTATAATGTATGATGTATAACACCATTTTAATTTGTAGTGGTTAGAGAGCCCTTAAACGTAAAAAAATATCTGTGCTCAATGAATAATTATTATTGTATTTACCTGCCAAGGTATTCCTCCAAATATCAGCTGTAATCCAGAATCTAAGTACAACCCAGCGTCGTTCTTGGTCAGGGTACCCAACCAGCTTGATGACGTCATTTCCAGAGAGGAAACGGCGGGGTGGTGCATAGCAAAAGGAAAAGCCAGAAACTGGAAATAAAAGAAATGAAAGTCCAGAAATACTACAATCGTATGCCACCGAAAACTAGTACGGTGGAGATTGTGACCTCTGTATTCGTATGCTTTTTTTATGACATTAATTAGCAGTCATAATTTTGAATAATTATATATATATATATATATATATATATATATATATATATATATGGATTTTTATGGACACATTCAAACCGACAACTTATTGTTTAAAATTTGTTAAAGCACATTGAGTTCTTAGATTTATAAATGCCATTCTGATCATTATTTTTTACTCTTGTGAACTAACCAATCCAATGAGAATCATTATCAGCTGTGCTACGTCTGTATACGCCACGGAATATAGTCCACCGATAAGTGTATAAACAACGGCGATGATGGCTGATACAATGATAGAGAGCGTGTTGTCAAGTCCAATCACGACTGTCAGAGAAGAACCTAAAACAGTGTGTCGTGTATAAGAAAACTCAGGTCTAAGGGCTGATGAAAGTGAAATACAAAATCATTTTATATTTTTTTATAAAATTTAAGTTTTTTTTTTTCTGTATGTAAAATGGCTCTTTTTCTGTTATCTGTGCGCAGCCTTGTTCCGCAAGCTTTCGATCTCTAAAAAGATCAATACCGATTTAAACACTGAGCACAAGATGCAATTTAGAACAAAATAAAAATTCAAATATCATATATTTCTAACAGCATTTAATCTTACCGAGAGCCGATAGAATAGCCGCCGACCAGAACAAATCTCCCAGCAGGGCTGGAATGTACAGTAAAGCCGCCATGACTGGACCGTATTTATGTTGAAATGGATCCAGCATTGTCATGTACCCTGCGGATCGCATGGGTCCAGCAAACACCAGCCCACCAATGGCGAGAGCGATGGAATATCCTACAGGTGCTTGACACCACACTAACCCTGAACTCAGGGTGATTTCCGCTGTTCCGTTGATGTAACCTCCGCCCACCCAAGTCGCTGAATTGGACAAAAATGTAATTGTAAAGGCAAAAGTGCTATTTTTGAACAAATGAAGTAATGTGATTGTAGATCATAATTTGTACACCTCGTTTATTGTGACAATGGATATTGGAAGGCTTATATGCATATATGCAATATCGAAAAGTCACTCTGTAGTTCGAACAGAACATCGCCAACTAAATTTTGATCTATAAACGGAATGCAATTTACTGATTTAAATGAATTGGAAAGGGTCAGTTATTTTTTTATATTCAAACAAGTATACCCATAATACAGATAAAAATTCCTTCTACTTTAGTGCTTTGAGCCAATAAATTTGATCTTTTAGATGATGCAAAAAAAAATTCAATGTATATAAAAACAAGACCTGACAAAAAGGGACAAAAAGAATCCTTTTTATAAAACACCCAGCAATTTAAAATATTTCCATACAGCCTGCAGCCTTTGGAGAATAATAATAAAGCCGAGAGGCTTATACCATTTCTTCCTGTCATTCATCTTGTTGTAAAGCTTGATGTAAAGGTATCTTGTTTCAGAAGGACAGAGGCTTTATCACAATTAGGCTTTGTAAAACTGTCTTACCCGTCAACGTGAAAATGCCGACAAAGGGTCCAATATTTCTTCCTGCTAGAATCAGTTCTGTTGTTTGTGCTTTTTTACCAAAACTCTTAGATTTTCTTCCAGCCACTATTCCGATGATAAAGATGATGATGTAAAATATAATAATGGCCACCAGACCCCAGATATTTATCACGCCGTCGACCATGATGATTTCTGAGTTCTCCTGATTTTATTTCCTTATTAAAGTAGGTAGATCTATCTTTTATTGGCCCTGGAAGGCATAAGAATATTTTAATTTATGTTAAACAGAATATTAGAAATTCTCTCAGAGAGGGAGGAGTTTGAAACAATCGATTACCCTACACTTTTAATCATTAACATTTTGAAATAAAATACTACAAATCTAATTAAAGATTAGCTGGATTTTTTTATTTATGCTCACAGTAAATAAACACAACAATCAGCATAATACGACGATGAGGGTCTAACCATGTCTATACTCAGCGTAATTATCATTTTCCATCTCCAATGCAGTATTACTAAAGTGAAGGTTAAAATTCAATTTTTAAATGAACTGGTGAAAACACATGGATATATATTGGTTCCCCATCTTGAGGAGTCGCAGCTGTCAAAAAAAAAACTTTTAAAAATTGTAAGACGGGTAGCGAAAACCAAAGACCCAAATATGAAACCCTGCCACACATGCATGGGTCTACAGTTCTTGACACACTGTGAACTATCTCAGATAAAACCTTGATTACATTTGAAATGCGATGCCCGTACGGTGCACGTACATTGTCCTTAATACCCTTTTCGCAAGGCGTCTGAGCGGAGGTAGACGGTGGCCGTGCGGAATCGTACGGATTTAAGGCCATGCAATGTAGACATACTCGGCGTAGCCAGCAGCTACTTAAGATTTCAAAAAAATCGTACGGACAATTTCATCGCATTGCGCCCGTGTAAATGTAATCTACGTAATATATAATCTCAGTTTCGTGGCTTAAGTCACGTACTCGTCAACCAGAAGTGCGTGACTTCCACAAGTGCGCTGAGAACTGGGGCATCTATAACATCAATCTTGTTTCCACTAAACACGTAAGTGTTGCTGAAAAGGTGTGGGTAGCAATTTCGGATTTTAAGCGTCTCACATTCTCACATTCTCATTTGTTGCAGAAACACAGGGCTCTGAGGATGGGACAACCATCTTTGAGGCCTGATATTAATCCTACTGAGCACCTGTGGCATTAATTGGAATGTGCATTGCAGAGGAGAACCAATTCCCAAATAATCTTGACCAATTCCACCACGCTCTTCTAAACATGGAAATGGGGGTGGGACAACCTTTTTGACCAATGTTGTAGATCAGGCTAACCCTAACCACTATAACTAAATGGAGGGCGGACTTTCTGTTACACGGACTCAGTTTCGTTACACGGGTGTTTTTGAAGCCTGGGTCACAATGCGCTTGCAGCCTTTTTGCAACCTTATTTACAAGGAGATCGCCATAGGTTTTTAAGTTGCCACATAAGGTTGCAAACAGGTAGAAAGCGATCGTTGTCACATGAAGGTCATTTTTGTGCCCCGACAACCAGTGCGACTGAATATGAAAAAGATCGGTATCCCAAAATTTGCCTATCGGTCTCTTTGGTTGCCAGTAGGTCGCTATAACCAGGCTAAAACTAGTGGCATACCACTTTCAAATGCAAGGTCGATTGGCGGCCTTGGCTTTAGTCGGTTGATCGCTTATAAATCTCTAACTGGTCGCAAGAAGTCGGCAACAGGTCCCAGAAGGTTGCAAGCGACCGCAATAAAGTAAGCATAGGATCATGGCCTATTTTGGCGTAGACTATTTTTTTCACTATTTTTTATGTAATGCATGTCTTCTAAACATAATGACAATTAATCATAAAATCTTGGAAAAGAAAACATGAATTGCAATTTGTTGGCATGTTTTACAAAAATTGACAAGATTTGCATACGCCACATATTCCAAAATTACAAAAATTCGAAATTCCAAAGTGCGAATTTTTGACACTACATGTATGTTTATTCCCTTTATTTTGTAAAAGTAATTGGTAAATATGGTGATACCGTATTTCATCGTTGTATCTCATATAAAATTTGCAAAACCAACTGTGAGTAAAAAAATGAAACAAATAGACGGATGCAGAGAAAACGGAAAATAAAAAAAAATTATCGGCAATGTATAATTCCTATTTATTATCGTATTTTCAACCATTAAACTTATCTACAAATAATGTAAGAGATAGTTAAAATGTCCAAGAATCATTAATAAAAATAGTTTCAGTATATACATTAACATCCTACCAGTGCTTGGTATCCTCACCACAAGGATAAGAATGTAAACAATACACGATGCGCACGACCTGCAACGCTTAAAGAACGTTGTATTGTAAGTGATAAAGGCCCGGGGCTAAAGTGACAAAGGAAAAACCACAAAATCAGTTGCATACCAGTTGTAAATCAATCGGCGCCCTATTAGCAACCGTTTGGATACCACAAATTGCAGGTTTTCGATGCTGCACGGTAAACAGGCGCGACTAGATATTTACCGGGCGTTCTTTTGGAAACCACTTTGCGAGTTGTAGCAACCGGTCGAGAGACCAGGTACATGTATTGATGCAACATATCATTAAAGGATATGTGAAGATTAATAAGGATTAAAGCAAATTCAAATGAATAATTATTGTGATTGCTGTGTTGCTTGCAATACGAATTTGATATTTAGCTATAGTAAAGTTTGTTTTCTTACAATTGTAAAATAAGATAAATACGCCATAAACCAACCAGACTTCCAAGTATTACAGCATCCAACACGCTCCCTGCTCTTAGTTAAGGTGCCATTTTACCAGGACGTTTTTCTTGTATTCTGAGAGGGGAATTGCTGTGAAAGCAGCTATCGTGATAAGTTTGTAACATTAATGATCTATGCGACTTGTGGCAACCATTCAACAATCGATCGCTACAGTCCTGCAACCGGTTTTGGTTACTGACAGGTTGTGTACATAGCTCGTTAAACGGCCTGCAACTGGTAACATATGACATGAAGGTGGTCTTCAGAGATTGCAAATACCATACTGCAAGATTCTGTGGATGCAAATAGGTTGCCAAAACGCTGCAAGCGTCCTGTGACCCAGGCTTAACTGAACGAGGGTAGTTTTGGCGCATTTGTCTGCACCATCAGTACGAATCCTGAGCAGGTATTGTCACAGAAACGACCCTGAGAAGCCATGGCCGCGACTTTTTACATTTTTTATACGCACCTAGAGATGCTATATGACCGTGGCTATATACCAGTGCGCTTTATTCGGCTTTAGGGTTGTTTCCCGGTGAAATACGAATACTTTCTCTTGATATGCATGTCAAATAATACACTGTCACCCTCACGCGATAAGTGCTTTTGAACACCTGTCTTGGTGACGCTCGAAGTACTCAAAGCTTACATTGTGACAGGGTGGCAACGTATTATTTGACAGAATAAAGTTCTTCATTTCACCGAAAAACACGCCTAAAAGGAATAAAGTGAATATCACCACGGTCACATAGAATCTAACATATATCCTTCATAGCGCATATATTTTTCCGTTTAAATATTTTGAAAAAAAGTTGTAACCTGACTTCTTGTCTTTCAAAATTCTATGACTCTCTTGTGTCATGTTGAAATAATGTAGGTGGCTGGTAGCTGGCCATTAACAGATAAAAACTTCAGTAAATGCCCGCGGCGAGTCGTATTTTAAGGTCAACAGCAGCCTGTTAAAAAAGGCTTGAATCCGCCTTTGGTATATATATTTTCTCAATTAATGGTTGTTCCCAAGGTGAAATGTGTGGAGTGTGCCGATAATGATGATGATCCCAAGGACACGGGTCGCTGCTCTCTCCGGTCAACTTTGATAATATATAAAGGTACATGTACATGTACTCATTTATCATCCTGTTTGTTCCGATTTAGGGCTTGTTGTCTGTTAAACTTATAGTAAACAAGAAGTAATGCATTTTCAAAAACTCATTATATGCAACTGAGTCACTGTGAAAACCCTGTGGTCAGTTCCTCAATTGTTGTAACAAATCCCCAAAATTTGACACAGCAAATCCCCAAAATTTGACACAGCGTTATTTAATATTGGCATAGTTGATTTTAGTTAAAACTAATAAAAAAAATCTTATTATTGAACAATAAATAATTTCACTTAAAGGTACACTCCATGAGATTTAACCACAAGTATAGATCTTCCCGGGGAAAATAAGCATTTTCTCGTACTCACAAATCATGTACATGTATCTATTTCTCACTGCATTTGGATTTGACCTTTGATCAAATTCATAAAAGTTGATTTTAGCTTAAAATGACTGGCCAGTCACTATAATAGCGACCATTTTCATATAAGCTCCAATGGAAATATCAACATCAGATAACCTACAGAAAAAATACTTAAGGCATTAAATCTTTTTAAAGGTTTAAGTAAGGTTTTATAAGTAGCTGGTGATGGCAAAAAAATAAGCATTTTGGGGATTTTCAAACCCATGGAGTGTGCCTTTAATTTTCAATTTGATTGCGTTCACGATGATATTCAAAACAAGGATTTTATTCACGAAGGCCACGTCAAATCTCAGTCACCTGTGGTTACAGGTATACGTCAATGCAGCTTGACCTTAAGGGTATGAACACATCTACATTGTAGTAGTTAGGGATTGCCGCGGTTCTCCTCGCTGACTGTTATAAGCAAGTTCTAGCAGTGTATATCAAATTATTGCTGTTAAAGTATACCAAATGCCACCGTTGTGTGTCAAGTAGCAAAACTTAGAGAAATAACACACAATTTCCAGAAAAACGATATTTGCACATATTTGTTCTGCTTATTTTCAGCTGTGGTTTACGCACAAATACCTGTACATGTAAGTAGGTCAATTTTACTACCAAAATTTTGACGGAAATGCACATATTAAACCTTTTGCAGATGCAGGTGAAATTAATTTCAGGTTTCCTGTATTTATTGTACGTGTATGAAACTTGAATTAATAATATATGTAAGATACAGAAATATTTGAGGTAAACAATTCCAATATTAAGCTGTAAATTGAAAAAATTAATATATTATATGTATCCTAATAACATAGCTGATAAAATTCATTTCTGATAAAGAAACAGGGTATTAACTCTTGCTTCATCTGTAACTTCCCTCGAAACAAAATGAAACAACAATGACTGCATTTTTCACAGAGTTCTCACGTTTGATCTATGTTCCATTTAAAATATATTCACACACGCATTATTTGTAGGGAATTAGTACTTACTCACAGTATGATTTGTGCTTGTAATCTTAACTTGTAGCTTGAAATATCACCCACTTGCTAAAAGGACCCGTTCACCTGTGCCGCTGATTCTATGTGAATCAGATCGCAATAAAAAGTAGGGAAGAAGCAGTAAGACACGACACGCCTACTTCTATTCAGTCAACATCTCCACAAACCTATTATGATGTTAAATTATTCTGATAGCGTAAACGCATAACCGCGGTATTATCACAAAACGTGCATAGAAAAGTGCACATAGACTGACAATGTATTTTCCGTGTTTACGGTAAATTAGTAGTCCTTAAGCTTGGCAAGAACATGACTGAGATACATTAAAGGAGATTCATATGAATATATACCTTAGCCATGTTATTGCCTGGGGGCAAAAAAAGTCCCACATTCTAAACTCGGACAGCGTCAAAATTATCCATGAAAATTCGCATTTTGCTCCTGCCTAGTAGTGTCTCGGGTGCACAGAAGTTTTAACTCGGTAAATTCTACTGTGGAGATTATAATGCAATCAGCAACCGGACAGAGATCAGCCTGGAAAAAGACGAAAACATTTTGGTTAGTCTTGGAAAAAATAGTCTTTTTAAAGTTCGTGATGTTTTTATCCACTCGGGCTGTAAAAATCGGAAAGCTGACTACGCAGATTTGATTATGCAAAATTAGACTATAATCTTTTAAAGGTTCTCTACCCGCGGCCGGGATGTACCTGCCATTTTTTTTTTTTGGGGGGGGGGGTATATCAAGGAGCAATTTTCTACTACTCCCAAATGTTTGTATAGGGTGAGGAGATAATTGCCTCCGCCAAGGAGGTGATGTTTTCACCCCTGTTTGTTTGTTTGTTTGTTTGTTTGTTTGTCAGTCTGTCTGTTTGTCATCAACATAACTCAAAAAGTTATGAATGAATTTCGATGGAATTTTCAGGGTAGGTCAGAAATGGGTTAACTTAGTAGTGTTTAGTTTTTGGTGGTGATCTGGATCACCGTCTGGATCCAGGATTTTTTAAAGGATTCTTTATATATAGTCTATTTTTTTTGTTATGATGGCTGATTTCATTATGATTTGAAGAAACGAAATAAAATGCTTTAAAGAGAAGTATTGTTGCTGAGAAGTATTATTGTCTCCTCAAACAAGAAAGAAGTTCGAGATAGTATGATAGGGGGAACTGAGCTGCATTGGCGGAGGTCTGCGCTCTCTGAGTGCTTTTCTAATATTCCAATGGTTTTATCGTCTTTGGGGTTTGAATTGGGAAATATAAGAAGCTTTACAGGTGGGGTTTTTCAGACGCGTGGACAGTTCCTTTAAGAATGATTCGCCCACGATTAATGTATTTGACACACATCAGTGGACTGTTGTTGTCACTGGAAGTAAACTTCTTTCAAGACTTCTTTCAAGACTATTACATGCCGAAAAAACGAGGTAAATGACCTTAAAGATTCTTTGTGAAACTCAGCCTAGTCGGCTAAGTATTAATAGGCCAAGATTTAAGTAAAAATACCTGCCTTTATACTTTTTTATGACACAACTACCCATTCTTTTTCAGCTGTATGTGAAAACCGGTTTGGCGCGAGGGCAAGTAGCCGGTAAGCACGTCACCTTGGTATTTTTGGGGAGGTCAATAGGTTACGAAAGGGTTTGCAACGTGTGTATAACGTCGGGAGGGAATAGCTTTAAAATAAAGCGTGTAGGGTCAAAGTGTAGGTCGTCATGCATTTTTTTAATTCTAAGGAATTAATACCTTTATACTATATAACTTAACTAGCATTCATGTACATATCGTTTTTTTTTTAATTTTATGCACAAACCGCAGTCTACAGCACCCGTGCCTTTCGCAATATTTATACCGTTTTTCTTCTGTACTGTTTTCAAACTTTTGTTTTTCGCTAAAACGCCTTGTTTCTGATATTTTTATTATCTAAATTACAAATATAGAATAAAAATAAAATATTTTCTCTGCAGTCCAAGCAATACAGCTCTTTCACTGGGTCTACATGGGGATATATATATACTTAAAAGTAGAACGTAAAAAAGGAATTCACAATTGATAATTAAAATTACCTGGAATACCCGTACTTATAATGCCCTTTATAAGATATTGACATTTTGTGATCATGAATTTGACAGCAGTTCCCTATAAACTGAGAGTAAGTCACAATTCATGACAGTTTCAATAAATTGGAGCTATATCAAGCTGGATTGTTTTGTAATCATAATTTGGTATTGTTCTCTTGTTTCGCTTGTTCTTCTAAATTATACCCCAAATTCGAAAGGCCTGTCTTTTCCGGCCCGTCCATTTCTTCTCCATCTTCCAGCTCTTCTTCCGGTTTCGGTATGCAGGTGGCAAAAAAGTCATACCTTTTTGGCAAAATTTCCCGAGCAAAAAGCACGTGGAATATCAACGACACTATCACTATGGAGAGGAAACTGACAAGCATGCTGAACGTTTTGAAGGGGAATCTTTGAGCGCTGTTCTCAAAGTCGTACCATGGGTATAAAATAAACGCAGCAAGATTAAATGTCGCTTCCCCACCACCAAGACGAAGGATCCAGCCGATAATGTACCTGAAATATGAAATAACTGCTTTACATTCCGGCTAGGAAAATAATCAATACCATTACATAGTCATTACGATGGCTTCTGCAACTACTTATTTGACTTAGTCAAAAGGACAGTGGAGATTTAAAGTTGACCTAACAATACATTCGAGAGGGTGAGGGTTTTTTCCCCCTCTGACCTCCTTGTGTATATTTAGCAGGTGGCACAATGGTAAGCAAAGACGCACGAAGTTCATAACCTACCCAGTTAAAGCTCCATACATATTGGCCTGCTTGAGGAATATCACACATACAAGTTGGGGGAAAAGGATGACGTAGACAAAGTCAGAACACAAGAACCACAGAGCGTATATTGAGGTGATGTAGATCGCCATCACTGTAGCCACGGCCCCAAACACTACCACTGCCACACGCATGAACCACACAACCTCCAGCTCCGAGGCCTAGAATACAAATTACCATTGATAGTTTAAAGTTTTCATTTATGAGATCCAATGGCACTATTATGCACATTTGAATTTACCATTGCGCTAATCAACGCATTTCACTGTGAATTAATTGCTATACGTAATTGTAACTAATGATAATGAAATTGTTACAGCTGGAACTTTGTATGCTATGCATTATACGCAGACCTTGATAATAACATTTTAATACTAAAAGTTCGTAGCATGGGTTATTTTTGCTGATACACAAAAATGCCGTCGCTAAGCATCTTGTTTCAAGTCAGGTCCTAACATGAGGAGTATTTTAATTCACAGTAACAAAAAATGCAGTAGCTGCGATAAATGGTCTCAACCAAAGCAATGAAAAAACGTGGATGGCACGCATTAAATAAACCTGCCTTCTTTCCGCGACACAGGAACTTTCTCAATGGTCTGTACACATTGTGAGAAAAGAGTGAGCTCATGGACAAAATGGCGGAGTCAGTAGATGACATCACAGCGGCGGAGACAGCTCCAAGGCCTATGAAGGAGACGGCAGGGGGCGTAAGGTACTGCAAGACAAGCGGCAAGATGTTCTTGTATTCTTCTGAAGGGACTGTAGTCTGATTGTAAACATCGACGTAAGCAGTCTCTGTCCAATCTGAAATAAATGGAAGAGAAGAAGTTGAGAAAGTTGGGAATGTTGCCACACGATTGGGGGGAAAATTGAAGGAAATTAGCTGTCAAACGAGTTAGAATTGTTGAATCGAACCAAACTAGTACGCTGAAAGCAGCTCTAGTATTTAAACAGATCACAAAGTATATCCTTTATGGAAAAGTCTACCTTTTTTGCTTATTTCATCCACAGAAATAAAACAATTGAGCGGTTTTCCCATTTGACCAGGCAACCATTTTGCTTTGCCAAATACCTCGGTTAATAAACTCTAAAACAAGGGACATAATTTGTGACGTACTTAGTATAAGCATAGAAGTAGAGAATATGTAATATTATACTTTTTCTGTCAATTCTGCGATAGCATACTGTAGCCCTTTAAAACGTAATTCGTCCTAACACCAAGTTGTGCGACTTACTTGTTGAGGCTCCAATGGCTCCAATCATTACAGCTGGAACAGCACACACCAAACAGAAAAAGCCAGCTACAATAGATAACCATTTAGCCTGACCCACTGTCCTTGCAGACAGCACTCGTTGAAAGTACACCTGGATAACGAAAAGTGTAATTTAAAGGCGGAAAGGAAATATTTGATAAGGACGTTGATTCCATAGTTCTTGAATTTTTTGTTGCTTTTTTCAGAGATTGTGAAATTTCTCGGTTCTATACTATGGCCTACTGTTTTTTTTTTTTCGGAGAAGAGCACAGTTGCATATATTGAGACAAGCAAATAAAGAAGTCTATTCTAGACCCCTTTTATTGTATTAACCTGCCAAGGTATCCCTCCAAATATCAGCTGTAATCCAGAATCTAAGTACAATCCAGCATCGTTCTCGGTAAGGGAACCCAGCCAACTTGATGACGTCATTTCCAGAGGGGAAACGGCGGGGTGGTGCATAGCAAATGGAAATGCCAGAAACTGAAATTAAGAAATTGTAAGTTTGGTTAAACAATAGGCGTATGCCAACAGAGACTAACAGAGGAGAACTTGTGGGATTTGTCTTCATCTGCCTTTTGTTTAATAATAACAAGTGAAACATCGACTCTCTTACGGTAATTAAAATTTAATTCTTCATTACACTACATTTCAGCAGTTGAATTTATGCAACATTTTGCGCATCAAGCATCGTCTCTTCGATGGCACCGAGCAACGATTTTTCACATTTCTACTAAATAAAAATGTTCTGTGAGCGTAAAGCAGTTCAAAGAATAGGCCTATAAACAAAAGGTTACTTCCTCCATTATCATATCACCGAATTATCTAATTGCGCGTAGAATAGCCAAGCCTTCACTTTAAGCAGCTCATGCATGCTATACTAACCAGTCCAATGAGAATCATGATCAGCTGGGCTACGTCTGTATACGCCACGGAATATAGTCCACCGATAAGTGTGTAGAAGACTGCGATCACTGCTGATACGATTATAGAAATAGTATTCTCCAAGCCTATCACGACGGTGAGGGAAGATCCTAAAATAATTAATCGTTCATTGAAATTTTGACAAAGGACTGGGCTATCAAAAATACAAAGTCGACATTCAATTTAGATTAATGTGACCTTTTTTGTGTTGTTATTTTTATTTTAATTATTTATTTATTTATTTATTTATTTGTTTATTTATTATTATATTTATTATTTTATTTATTTATTTTATTTATTTTATTTATTTATTTATTTATTTATTTTTGGGCTATTTGCTGTGTTTTGTGGAGATTTTACTAACAGGTAAAAGTTTTGTTAAATTCTTGATAGCGGAATCTTTTGAGACGTGATGAAGAAAAAACACCCACACCTTATCGAGATCATTGTATTTAAAAAATTCAATCTTACCAAGAGCCGCCAATATGGCCGCCGACCAAAACAAATCTCCCAACAAGGCCGGAATGTACAACAGAGCCGTCATAACTGGACCGTATTTCTGTTGGAATGGATCCAGCATTGTCATGTACCCTGCGGACCGCATGGGTCCAGCAAACACCAGCCCGCCGACCGCCAGTGAGATAGCATATCCGACAGGTGCTTGACACCATACCAACCCTGAACTCAGGGTGTATTCCGCCGTTCCATTGATGTAGCCTCCGCCCACCCAAGTCGCTGCATAGAAAAGTGTCTTTTAAAGATCGAGCAAGTCACAGTATTATTTGCAAGGATACAAAAATGAAAACAGTAAAATGGCAGGAAAAATATCTCAACGATGGCAAAATATTTCAAGAAAGCACTTATTCATCAATAGCAAATGTTTTCATTATATTCACCCCGTCTAGTCAGCACTTCAGAGGCAAAGACTCACTGGAAGCTACAAACTTGTTTCACAAAGGAAACAATATTTTCTGCAGATTTCCTTACCTGTCAACGTAAAAATTCCAACGAAAGGCCCTATGTTTCTCCCGGCTAGAATCAAGTCTGTCGAATTTGCATCTTTTCCAAAACTCTTAGATTTTCTTCCAGCCACTATTCCGATGATGAAGATGATGACGTAGAATATAATAATGGCCACCAGACCCCAGATATTTATCACACCGTCGACCATGATGATATCTGTGAGTTTTCCTGTTTTTATTTCCTCGTTATTATGATGCTGATCCTGGAAAGCAAAAAATGTTAAAAATGATTTCTATACAGGATTTTAAAAAGCAGTCGAATAAATAGTTAAGAGTAAAAAGTTATCCAGAGAGAGAAAAAGAGAGGGAGAGCCCCAGATTTTAATTCATTTCTAACTTTTGTGTTAAGACCTTCAAATTTTGTTTGTCTTTAATGCATGCGATAGGCATCCACTGTGTAAAGTACACAGTGAGGCGCAGCTCTCTTATGAAATTACTATTGTATTGTTCATGTTGTATATACAATGCGGAGTAGGTCAGTGCTCCATTGTATGTGTCTTAAGACCTACAGGTGCTAATCTCCTTTTACTGCGACCCCCCACCCCCACCCCCCGGTAAAACATAGCGAGAATGGGAGACAATTTTTGTTGCGGTTTGTTGGAAGTTTACACGCAAGACCCCATCTAAATTAAAGTAAAGAGTCACTGCGAACTACTGGGCCCGATAAGTTCGTACTTTTGCTGATTGTGTATAAAATATTGCTATTTTGTCTCCTTCTGCAATTGTCTCTCTTACGGCTCACACACACGTCCAAGCAAACATATGCATGTATCTGATAAAAGAGCCGACCTACGGCACAATCATGGCTGATGTCATTAACTGTAGCTGATATACGATAAACAGAGATGGGGAGGGGAGGGGAGTGCCCCACCCTTCAACTCCCATCCACATCAAAGTTAGGGATTTTGCCCTATCCCCTTCTCAAAGGAAGGACAAAAAGTAGAGGCACAACGCAAGCAATGCAAGGATGTCCTAAGTTTCAGTGCGATATAAATACCTTGAACGGCTACGAAATACCAACCAAGATCCTTTCTCCTTAATAAAACCCGGGTCCACCAGCGTCCACTTCGTTCTGAGTCTTCGTATAACGGTGTGCGGTATGTTAACTACACTTTGAAGTCGAGATACGCCAAGTGGGCATGAATAATGGACTTGGGATCCTCATATGTGTTTAAGGATCCCGGAATGGATTTATACATGTACGATCACATTATATACACCTGGGCACTGTACTGTTTTTGTCGCAGAATTAGGCAGCTAGGCTACAGCGTGCCTGTTTAACAGCCTACTTGGACGTCCTGAAGTCGCTGAATTAGAACCCTTTGAGTAAAATAAGTTGACAGGAAGATCCAATTACGGTTTTACAGTTCAGTTAGTCTATGGTATTCACATATGTATCTTAGAACAGACATGTTCATAATAGCTTACAAAGTACTGTATATGGCTCAAGTGGCGGGTGAAACCGTTCACAATATGTTACCTGTTGATTTGCTGCATACAGTGTACGTCCTATACACCTGGAGTTGGCAGGGTGTGGTAATATACCAGTAGTAGTGAAACCCTCTCTTAATGATTTGATGTCAGTAGAAGTAAAGAACCTGAATATACACTATACCAGTGCAGTAGGGCGAAGATCTAGAAGGACACTCCTCTTCTATCCCATATAAAATATTTTTGATAAAAGCCCGTAAACACCCACATAATACGAGGCTGGGCGTCTGCACTCGGCACTTCCTTCCCTTGTGTATCTTATCTACATGGGTAAACGTTGACTATAGCCTAAGTAAGGAAAAATTAGTCACTTGTAAAGAAACAGGCAACTTTTAACCATCCCTGTTCGTCTTTTCCAGTAAGTAGCTTAATTTGCGTGTACTAGGCCATTATTACAACGTATCGAAGAAACAAACACCTACTCACAGGACTCATGCCCACGTTTTCAGGAGTCCTTCGTAAGAGAACTAAAAGCCCACAACAATTGTATATGGGGCATGTATTCATACCTACTTGTAGAAATTATAATGCTCCTGTGTAACCTGAGGAGTTATAATGGGCGTGGCGGTTGTACATGTATATAAGCATACAAATCCGTATTTTCTGCACTCGCATCTTTATCCACCGTGCAGCTTTTCTATTGATTTTTAAATCAGAGATATGTTAAAGTAAATAACGTATACATAAACATGCTCAAACCGCACGACTGTAAACACATACCTGTACTTGCCTGGAGGCCGATTTTATGACACATGACAACTGTCGACCTATAGCTACTTCATATCCTGGAACACGAAAACGTCCGTGATATATCCCAGATATCTTTCAACGTTTACCTGTTCATAAAACATCCAAGTCTATATGCGTGCAAAAATCTACCCCATGAAAAGTAAATGTAAGAGCTACAGAAGGTTTGCTGCGATCGGTCAGTGATCATCCAGGCGGCTCAAATCGTGTCCTACATATGCAGTGTCCTTGTCAGAGTGACCACTGGGCGCATAATGTGTGACAGCCGAGCGCGCCACTGGTTTGTTAAACATACCTTCATACTATAGTTAACGGTCACTGAAACCGGTTGGAGGGAGAGAGTTGGGGTGGGGAGAGGAGGGGAGAATTTGTAGTTAATAGCTACCTGTGGGATACATTTGTAGAGGAATTTTCATTTTATAGGTGTTATGCGAGGTTGGCCTACTATAAGCATCCCAGACCTTCGCTTCGCTTTTGACAACAACAACAATAATAGTAATTATTATTATTATTATTATTATTATTATTATTATTATTATTATTATTATTGTTGGTGGTGGTGGTGGTGGTGGTGGTGGTGGTGTTGGAATAATAATTTGCCTCCTATTTTTTCATATTACATCACAGTGACAAGTTCTTTTGCATTTATCATCTAATATATCGAAACTGGTCTGCAAATTCTTTAATTTTGACAAATTGGTGTACATAATACATGTAATTACACACACACACAAGGTCTCAGGAACACCAACTGGCTGCAGACATACTGACTTGTGAATTAAAAATGCACTTTCTAGATTTCAAGTGCGACCTCTCCAATCTAGTAATTAATAAGCACTATGTGTTCTCCTGTCGGTCTCACTGGCTTAATCTGCGTTTACACGCTTGTTATAACAAACCAACACAGGAAAGAAGGAAATATGAATCACTTTTTCACAATTTGTTTTATTTTTAGAGGTGCTAAAAATACAGATCCTGTTCAAGATCTTAACCACGGACATCATCCACACTGTTGTATATGGAAAAATCATATAAGCAGAGCTTCCATTATTTTCAAGGTTAAAGCTTAGCTCGGTGATAGTTGATCCATGAAATCAATCATGTATCTACCTCACTGAGAATAACATCAGAGTCCTACACCCCATTTCCATAGATGTTTAGATCGTTCTATCCCTGTGGGGAGTCTCACTAGATTACTGTCAGCTTGGCCGGCTTAAGCGTCTGTCCCGCCTACTAAAAGCTGTAAGGGGGTAATTAACTATGGTGCCCGCTCGGCTGACTGCAATTTAGCGTGAACCCCCAGGGAGTTAGGTCGATCTAAAACTTAATCTTTAGATCGATCTAAATCTCTGGGAAAGCACCCCTAGTGACTCCAAACCTGGGCTCTATTCCCATAGATTTTAGATTTATCTATCCCCGCGGGGAGTCTCACTAGATTACTTTCAGATAATCCGGCTTAAATGTCCGTCCCGCCTACTACAAGCTGTAAGGGGGTAATTAACTTTCGTGTCCGCCCGGCTGACAGCTACTTAGCGTGAACCCCCAGGGAGTTAGGTCGATCTAAAGTAGGTCGATCTAATCTATGGAAATGGGGTGCTGGAGTCCAGCAATGGTGCCTAAAATAACTCCCAATTGGAGTCAAGTTGACTCCGATGGAGTCATGATTGACTTCACTTGATGTAACTGATTTACCTGTACAAAAGAGTCACTGTGACCAAAGTAAGGAGATTTTGACTCCATGGCACAGTAGATGACAGTGGTGGAGGGCACACCCCTGGCAACTGCACTAAACAGTGTAGTGTAAATCAAACTATAAACAACAAACAAAGAATTCAGTTTAAGAAAAAACTTAAATCACTAAAACATAAAAGCGAATACAAATAGGAAAGCACGTTTGAATCATCAAATTAAATCGATGCTTATAAACACCCACAAATAGCCTGAAAACACCGCAGTGAATGTAGATGTAAGTAGAAGAAAATCAGACAATTTTCTTTGGTTCGCTAAGCATTTTGTTCAATAACTTTTAAAAGTGAGAGTTCAAATCATTTTCAGCTTTGTACCTTTACAGACCAAATCTCAATTAAAAATATTTAATAAAAAATATTTGAATTCACTTCTGAAAACTTTCTCATATTCCCTGTGATTCTTTTTCTTTTTCTTTATTTATTTTTTGTATCTCTTTAATATCTCCCAAAAGTCTTATTGCCTTTCCGCTGACAACTTCGTTGCAGCGTCATTTACACTGTGCTTGCATCGGTCTCGTTTACAGATATGAACATCACTTCCGCCCACTTTATTACAAAAGGCAATCTAATTTGCATATAAGAGAAAAATGCAGTATTTTTCTTGATTATGAGTTGGGTACACATTTTCTATTATCCTTACAAAGAAATGATTCTTATTGCTAAAAATACTTTAAAAGGTTTGATCCACCGTTTATTAATCACATCATTGCAAAAAACTTTCATGTCACAGACGTGAATTACGTTTCCACACCCAAGTCATAAAACTGTTAAAAAACGAAGATAGCTGCACTTGCCCAAAGTAGGTTAATTGCCTGTAGAAAAACCCCATACGATTATCGATTATTGTGTGTGGACGGTTTTTGGGGAAACATACAAAGTAAAATTGTCAATATGCCAGCAGAATATTTTGATCTCTTGGAACCAATTAAAAGCAGAGTATATTGAAACCTTTTTAAAGGGCTAAAAAATAATCTACTTCTTCAGTTTCGCGACTTAAAACTTTGCAAACATTTTGACAGAATCCATATTTCATCTGTTCCTCCCTAAAATTTGCAGACCGCGTAAACTGTTTAGGTGTCGAGAAACGCAGAATATGATTCAGCAAACGATAGTGTTGAAGGAGCAAGGGGCAGGGTAGGTTGGATGTAGGGAGGGGGGTACTCACGTCACTTTTTCCAGCCACTTCAGTCTTTAGAGGTGAAATTAAAGCCCCCTACACAATGGACGGCGTCCTTTCTGCGTCCCGTAGTACGACCCCGTTTGCAAGTAAAAAATAATTAAAAGGATAACAACTGTTCGTAATTAAGAGATCCATATATATACTTAACTAGAAAGGCACTCCGAGAGCGCAGACCTCCGCCAAGGCAGCATAGTCTCCACCCAATGCCGTTTCACCCCTAAATTTTCATTCTATAATGATTTTTTTTTTTTGTTATTGATTATTGATTGATTAATGATCCGGATTACCACCAAAAACTAATCATCTGTACCTTGGACCACTTCTGACAGTTCCAGAAAATTTCATCAAAATCGGTCTATAACTTATTTTTTAATTTTTTATTATTGATTGATTATTGATCCTGATCACCACCAAAAACTAATCATCTGTTCCTTGGCCCACTTTTGGCAGTTCCTGAAAATTTCATCAAAATCGGTCCATAACTTTTTCTGTAATGTTGCTAACAGACAGACAGATAGACAGACAGACAAACTAACGGAACCAAAAACATAACCTCCTTGGCGGAGCGGAGGTAACAAGAAATACATTGTAAACATCTCATAGAAATATACTAAATTCTATTTTACCGCCAAAACGGTATTGCAATTATTTTGGAATTTGTGCTTGCCATCGGACCATGTGACCTCCATAGATGGCTACCCTCTGTAATAATCTCTTAAGATATTATTCCAAAGAACCAAACTTTTAGAAAAAAAAACAGGGACTAACTATGAGTGTCGGAACGGGTTCCTTAACCATTGGTAAATATGGGATAATTGTCGTTTACTCACGAAACATCCATTTTTGGTCAAAATGAGCAGTTGTTATCTCTTTAACGTGCCCACAACTGGCAGACCATTGAGCGTTCGTTCTGCAACCAAAGCGATACTTGTGACTCCTTTCAAGACGACCACACAATGCCAGTTTGATGGTCGCACAAAGAACCCATACAGGACGCCGTCCGGTGTTAAGTGGGTTTAACGAAGAGTTGGGGATGTCCATTTGTATGCTGCGTAGAAATATATATGAAATAAATCATAAAATTTTATATGTTAACAGTAAAATATTTTTACAAAATTCCATGAGAAAAAGTATTTGATTGAAGTTCTCTTGATTTTTTCTTGCTATTTCTTATATACTGTACGGGTAACACTCACATATGTCCGATGATTGTACATTATTTGTGAATGTGTAGGCTATATGAAATCTGAATTTGTATGGCAGCAATTTCTCATTTGTTTCTTGATTTTGTTTCTACACCATTTTGTTTATACACTATTTCTACACTGTTTGACGTACAATGAAGGCAAACTATTTTTAATAACCAACCCTAATAAATAAAACAGAATTATAAAAGTAGTTATGCACTGTTTATGGCTGGTGAGTGGTGACATGTAACAAAAAGTGGCTACGCATAGCCAACTCGGAACAAAAGAACAAGTATTTGCTCAAACAGACGCCACAAGGACTGGCTCAATCAATAGTACCAGGTGTAGAAAAAATCGATATCTTTAACGCTTTTATGGATGCAACATGTCTCGTGACACATATGTCGCTTGTAAGTGCCTGCAGTTTTTAATTATTACTGTTGTCAGGGGGAAATACCCTGAGTTTCAGGGCGAAAAGCGCTTGTCTCTTGTACCCGCCAAAAGTTTTCTGTCGTCTCCGGTATGGAAACCAATAAGTGAGTCCCAGGTAAGTCTAGCCTCTGCAACTTAGGGATTTGAATAACGTATTCTCCACCAGATAATCATCAAAAGATTTAAAGAGAGATGAATCGGTAGCCATGGGTTTATCGCCGGTTTTAAGTGACATGTTATATTACATTGAAAGTGATTATTAATCACCCAAACGTGAAATTAGATTCAGGTGCATTCACAGTGCTGACAAGACAGACCGATGAGTAGCTAATTTAGTGTCCAAATGCACTAAAGTAAAGAATTTGTAAATTTACAGTTGAATATTTAAACATTCTAAAGAAAAATACATAACGCCTGAAAACACATTGAATGGTGCAATAAAAATGAATGCACATCACATCTGATCACACTAGATTAAATACAGAGTAAAACAGCAAGGGAAGAGTGCAGGTAATAAAACCGATCAGCCTTGTTTTAGCAAGGGACCTGCCACTGCGCACCATACACACAGCGTACTAGTATGCTTTCTGCATCAAAGCTGCAATAATTTTAAAGTATAGAATATCAGCCGGTAGTGATGACCAGCGTCACGCTAACTCCATCAACCCACAACTTGTTCTGTAGTGAGATGTCAATAATGAAAAAAACTCGCCAGGGCGGGAGCAGCTTTTGATACAGCAATCAATGATACCGAAACAATGAAATGCATTGTTAAGGCACACCAAACGACATTTTATTGCCACCCCGAAAGCATGATGATACGGGGTCCCACGCATTCGTTTTACCACGTACACCTTCCAGTCCACTTGACCTAGCCCTATAGAGCCGAAACAACGGCGCTCCATGTAGGCCCATAGGCAACATATAACCAACATTGGGCCCATACGGCTGGCCCCATTGAGACGGCCGGCAAATAGATTAACTGACACTGAGTTCTGAACACTAGGAAATATTCTAACAATGCCGGTCAGTGCAGTGATCATAACATGTTTTCTACTTTAGGAAGAAGAGCTATATATTGTTATAAATAATCGAATGATCAATTCTATCTTCATTCAGGATATAGTGTTTCGTCATTAATTCACAGAACGCCGACAATGTTTTCGATTAAGTGGTACATTTAACAAGCGACAAGGCAGGCGGAAAGGCATATAAATTGGAACAGCTGCCGCAGAAACAATGTATAATTTTCAAATGGCAACTCATTTCTAGGTAAGTTTTATTTGTTAGAAAAATATCGATTTTGTATATGGAAATTTAAAATAAGGGTTTGTCGTAGATCACTCTGTAGTTATACCATATTAACACTATAAAACGGACCTCAGTCTCGAGTCGAATCGTGCAATTTGTTTTGTCAACCTAAAAATATATTGATTGCATCCACTTGTACTAGTGGTACTTTCAACTTATGATTATTTAAAATGATGTTTTATACAAAGTTAAATGCTGTCGGTAACCTAAACTGAAGATTTGTCGAATAGTGTACCACCTTAAGTCTGTTTTAAAGTAGCTGACTCTCAATGCAGTTTGCTGGTCAAAGACAAATAGTCCTCATTCTGATATGTGGAAAATAGACGTTAAAGAACATTAGGTGCGCTCTTTATTTACTTTTGTTTGCAAAGTGTAAATTCGGCATTTAGTACGACAAGGTGGAAGAAAATGTTGTATTTCATAAGTTGGAAACCTTTTATGTTGGTCACCATTAAAAAGTCGTATATTGTAATAAGTAAGTCTCCTCTTCCTACTATTCCACTACCGATCTTGTAACATCATCATCATTTGCGTTAATCGACATATGATTCACAAGAACTGGTCATAAAACGTCATTATAGTTATAAGGAAATTGATGAATATAACAGCAAAAAAAACCACAAAAATTACTGTAATTCAATTAAGTCGATATTAGAGAGCCATTTCGATGTCAGTTTTCACGCCTAAAGTAATCATGCGATGTTCTTAAATTGATTGTCAGCAAGAACATATTGCTCGCCTTTAACATCAGACCGCTTGAGTTAAACGCTAGAACTGATATTAATGGCACTACGAAATAATTAATGGACATTTTGTAAAGGACATGATTGTTTTGCAGATACTGAGCACCGCATATACTGCGTGGGTTTCCAAGAGTAAGTATACGCCATGCCTTTGAAAACAGATAACTTTTTTATTGAACGTACATGTTAGTAGAGTTCACCTGTACGATCAGGTCTGTGTAAGCTTTGAAAGGGTCAGCGTTAAAGATATTTGACCACAAGCTTAAGATGCTTTAGATCCCATTCTCACAGACACCATCGGCCTACGTGGATCAATCCAACTCTTCAGAGACTCTCGCTAAGTGCAATCAGCTGAACTAAATGTCACGTCTCTTCTTGTGAACAACGTACTCGTATAATTACCAGCTTTTTGTATTGCACTTAACGCCGGGAGGAGGCAGGCCATTCAGTTAAGGTGGTTGCAGTCAGCGAGAGTCTCTGTAAAGTTGGGTTGATTCACATGGACTGATAGTGTCTATTGGAATGGAGCCTATAAGATTCTGCGTTGCTTTAGCAACAAACCCAATGTCGCCTTGCTAATACAAGACTGGATGGTGACCTTACCAATTACTCTCGTTACAGTCCCTGGTCTATAATCATGTCCCTCAAAATGCATTGCGTTGTCACGATGGGAGAAAACATCATTTTGGAATCAATCATTTTAATGTGGCATGTTTGTGATACCTGCATTGTGCACTGAAAAACAGAGGAAACGGAAAGCACAAACGTTCCAATCTAGAGTCTTTCCAGTTCAATTAAATTGCCGATGTTCAGCAGCTGCGTGTTAATCTTATCTCCTTGTTTTCTTATAGATACAGGAAACCGATAGGAAGAGCAGCAATCCCAATTCAATAATCTAATATAGCCGCGCTATAGATTGGAGAAACCTCGAAGTGGAGCGGAGTGGTATGGGAAACCTATAATCAGTTGAATCATCTCATGTTGTTTCGCTAAAGATTCAAACAAACAGATGTCATTGGGCATTGTAAGAGGAGAAGATAAAATCAAACTGCTTGCGACGTACGTTGAACTATGAGATCACAGAAATGTAAGAAAATAATGCACAGAAGACACAGTTAGAAGACTTATTATATCATCTTGGCACTTGATTAATCATGCTGTATTGATTTGTTATAGGGTTCAAGCACCGAGAATTAAGACCAAATCGGCTTAGAAAAATACATAGTAGGCGCAAAAAGTTGCTTTGTTGTGATACCAATAGGTTAGGTCCTTAGAATCGCCGATAGGAAATTCATAGAACGGATATACTGGACACATATAACAGTTACGGAAAAATTGGGCTGTAAGTCAGTTAGTCATGTCGACGCCCGCACGGAATTCCACGATTCATCCCCCGGTACAGAATGTACATGAGAGAGAAATGGAGATGATCACAATAGCATTGGTGTCTGCTGGCATGGTTATCTTTCTGGTAAGCTGTATTTTCCTGGTAAAGTGTCTGGCTAAGAGACGGTTATGGCAAGGGCAAACAACGCTCAGTCGAGCGTGTCAAAACACGCGTGTTCCTGCAGTCACTTTGCACCCCAGCCACAGGCATTTCAACCATGATGACGTCACTCAGTTACATCCCCATGATGTCACATACTCGAATCGTCGTACTAGCGGTTCCAACCAACTTCGTGCGCACGATTCTGACTCGTCGCCTGAATTAGAAAAGGGGCGAATTCCTTACGAGGACCAAAGTGGTGCTAGATACGAATCTACAGATATTGTGAAACGGGATGCCGAATTCTATTCTCAGGCGGACAGCATGCAGAGCAAACAGCAACATATTACGTATGTGGAATTTTAAAACAGCGGAGTTTTTTTTACAGTGGGTATATGATACATAGCAGAATAAGCAAGATAGCAAAACACCATAACCAGATTGCAAATTGAACTACTTTCCCATTTGTATTTTGGATAAGTGGTACCCGGTAAAAAGGCAAACAATGAATATTAATTTTGAATTCAGGTTGATGACATGGAAAAGAGAGCTAGCCGTTTTCAAACTGCGCAGATCTAAACTACTAAATTAGCTGGTCTGTGGTGTTCCAAAGGGGATATAACCTTGCCTATCTGGAAAATTGGCTGCGTGAGGATGAAATGACGATTATTACAGCTCTGTGTATTGAGGGGTTCAATTAGACCAACCAGCTGTACACTTGATACTTATTTCCTAATGAATCAACCCCACTGCGCAGAGTAGTTTCATGATAAGGTATAGAAGTTCAATATGACTACCAAGTGTTTTCAGTGACTACAAAAATATAAAAAGATTGGGATCGTTTTTCTTTTTACACATTTTTTACTCTTTTATGTGTCAGTGAAGTATGCAATCTTTTTTTTTTCAATTTTTAAAATACCCAAATGTTGTATCCACATTTTGATATTTGGTGAAAACGCGTATAACTTCACTTTATGAACAATAAACCAAAATACGCTCTAGTATAAGGCAAAAAGGTTCGAGTCGATTCAATTCATAATTAAGGCTATGATTTGATAGTTATGATTACTATCTAATTTCATATTTGCTAAGATCGAGAGCTTGTGAAAATAATTTAAATTGAATGAATGCACACACACACACACACACACACCGAAATAAGAATGCTTTAAGTTGCCTTTTGGCCAATCAAACCATGACCAAGCACCACAATAAGAAATATCGAGGATACGTACATGTACGTTCTGCTCCGGAAACAAGGTTAATTTTTCCCTTCTTTTTAACTTTGGATGGAATTGATGCAATATTTATTATTGCTTACCACTTAATGACGCAGCACTAGTTTAAAAAAATCAACTTTATTTGCTATAAAGGACGTCGCAATTACGCACAGGGGCTTATAATGGGAAGAAATTATCTAGAAAACGCGTGAAGATGTAGTATTGAGTTAATGGATGTATAAGGAGAAGCTAACGTTGGCCATTAAAGGGAAAATTGAATTCATTAATCAAAAGCCAATAATTCGCTTTTTATTATCTTTTATCTTATTCAGTCTGTGCTGTCAATAAAGTGATTTGATATGGCGGGAACGCCAACAAAGATACGTAGATCAAAATTGTCCTTCTTTTGATGGCAGTCAAGTGACAAAATTAATTTTTCTTAATGTCAAAAACCATACTGAATTAAGATATCACTTAATTAGATAGTTAAACTAATAATCCTTGTACTTAGTAAATGATACGCGTTCCACTACCGACGCCACACAAGAGCAGTGGTTTGTCATTAGGACCGAGATCTCTTGAAAGTATGGAAGCGTGTAAGGGCCACAACACCAAACAAACATCACAACACCACAAGCAAAACACACAACACCACAAACAAAACTCACAACACCAAACAAACTCACAACACCAAAAACAAAACTCACAACACCACAAACAAAACTCACAACACCACATAAACATCACGCTCTTTAATCTGCAACCTTGACAAGTGATTGATTATTTTTAATGACTACTGAAGTCGGTCAAGTCGGATTAGTCACCTGGTGCAAACATACGTTACACCACTGATATCTCGGAGTATGAATGGCTAACATTCACACATCTCCGCACTTCGTTACACAACCTGGCTATAGAGACTGGGCGGTGGACCCGTATCAACAGAGAGGAGAGACTCCGAGATATCAGTGGTGTGCCTGTAAACACTATGAGCCGACAGATTAGGATTTATTGTCTCTCGAATTTCTCAGCAACCAAAATTTTTATTGAGACAAAATTTGTACAGTAGCTAGCTATTTCTCTTGTTTTTACTTTGACTTACTAGACCGTGACATTAGAGTACTATTTACTGTTGGACACGATATAATATGCAATGGGGGTGCCACTTGCGAAAAACACAGTTTGGCCATGCCATGAGGAGCTTCCAGTTTGGCTAGTTTCATGGGCACAATTTGTTATTTTGGACTAACCAATGGTTAGAAGAGGACTCAACGAGGTAATCAGATGGCAAATAATGGGAAGCCATCGTGCTGGGGTGCCAAAGAGACAGATTGCAAGGCAACAAAAAAGCAGCACCAAGTCAAGTGTCCAAGCTGGTAGCAAAATGGCGCCAAACTCATCATGTATTGGACAAGCCTCTTTCTGGTAGACCAGTATTAACCGACGCAAGAGATGAAGATATCTGGTTCGATTATGCCACCAGGACCAGTTCATATCAGCCAATCGATGAAAAATTGCCACCGTACGTCATTCAAGGGAGGTGCCCTGGTCAACAATACAGAGACGAAATACCATTGGGGTGCATACAATCACACATTCAAGCAAATCCAGAAAGAAAAATCATTTTGGTGCAGGACAATGCGCCCATCCAGAAAGCATGGTCCGTGCAAGACGCGCTGCAACAGCGCGGTATCCCACATTTGGATTGGCCTGCATATTTATCAATTCTCAATGTAATAGAACATGCTTAGGATATGATTGACAGGGCAGTAAATGAGAGGCAACGTCCAGTTAGAAACATTAGAGAGGTCCAGCAGGCAGTAAATGAAGAATGGAACCGGCTCTCAAAGCAAGATTGGCAGAATTTGGTGGCAGGAGTTGCAGGAGACAATGTGAAGCTGTTGTTCAAAACCAGGGAAAGCACACCCGATATTTATTGCATAATAGACGATTAAACATCTATTATCTACAGTCTTCTTTTATTAAAACTAATTCTTAAATGATCGAACTTTATTTTTTCATAATAAGCTGTTTTAATCAGCACGTGCTTTTTGCTGTGTGAGCTTACTTTTTTGACACATGGTTTGGCATATTTTAGTACCGTTTGGTTAATAAAGTTATTTTGATTATTACAATAAGCTGTGTGGTGTATTTCTTTAACCGAAATATTCAACTTGAATAAGTTATTTATAAAATATGAAAGAAATATGCATAATCCCACCAACAAATGAAATAATGATCATGATAGAAGAAACTTCTGAAAAAAAATCGGGGTGTTGCTTAACTTATGAGCATCAGTGTACATCCATCCCCGTTATCCTCTCCTCCTCCCCTCCACATTCCCCTTCGGACACTACAACCATCGAAATGCACTTTCAAGCTATCTGCCGTACATCACAGGCGGGAGGTGCCCCTCCCACTTCCCGTCTCACGTTCTGTCTTCACTAACACAATTGGGTGATGTTTGTGGAGTTCGTCACAATCATGGTTGAGACAACCTCATCAAAATCAAAAGGGCATATTTACCCTTAGGTCTGTGGATTGAGATGAAATTTGGCGACATTTGTATGTGACAGGAGATGGTTAATTACCAGTACTGTAAATCTGTTATTTAAAGCTTACGTTATTACACTGCGACTATTTTTCTAAATTTCTGTAAACTTCTATGGTGCATAGGATCTTAGTACAATGAAAGTTTAATATTATTATAGTTCATAATTTAATTCATAGTTTACTCAATGTACCTAACGTATGCATCCACCTGGGTTGATGAAAATGACAATATAAATGTGATTTTAAACGAATATGCTATTAACCAGTTACAGTGTGTAAGACTACTAACTTACTAAAGACAGTTGTTTAACCCATGTTACGATTACTACTACTCCATTGCCGATGGTTGCAGTACTGTCTTCTAGATTCCTCCTACAGGCCTACCCAACTACCAGACTCGGCACATAAGGATCCTGAATTAACCGGTATATCGGATCCCACTACCCGTTTTCAAGGTGTGTGTCAGATCGCATTTCGGAGTATCATACCCCAGAACAAATTTTGTAGGACAACCACGGGCTCATCCATGCTCGGCTGTCACCTTGATTGGATAGTAAACGATTGTCGTTAAATCGCTATATGATTTTAGAACCGGGTGCATATATTTGAAAACCACCTAGAACAACCTTAGACTGTACTCTTACTTTAGAGTACTCTATTTCATTGTCTCTATGGAGGTATAGGGGACTTTACGACATTCGGTTGAAATGCTTTAACCACTTTTGATAGGGCTCATCCTGTCGGTGTTTTGACTGATACTCCGAAATGCGATCTGACACACACTTTGAAAACGGGTAGTGTGGTCCGATATACCGGTTACTTCAGGATGCTTATGTGCCGAGTCTGGTAGTTGGGTCTATCCAAGAAGTTATAAAGAGAAGGCTTCTCTTTATAACTTCTTGGCCTGTCCTAGCAAAAGCAGCGGAGACAAACTCAGGCCTACCCAACTATAGATTTGTAAATAGATTTGTCCTGTTCACTATGCCAGTTTCGTAAGTTTTTTAAATGTTTATCGAAAGTTTCCATAGTTTACAATTACAGTTTACTTTCTTTAACTATCCAGGCTATATATTGGAGACCAAATGGGCTTTTTGAAAAGAGAACTTTGCCATCAGCATAGAATAACCCAGACACCTGTTTGTTATTAATTAGAGGTGGGTCACTTTTTGAATTGTCTATACTAATTATGACTAACAAGGAATTCTCGAATTAGCGAGGGAGAGATTATCTTGACGGGTGTAGCCTTTCCGTTTGGCTTAGGTGCTTTAAATAAGCGGTCAGTTGTTTTGCACTTTATTGCAGTAGGCCTAAGCTCTGGATGACTGGGCAATAGATGATTTTTGTCTCTCTACATACACACTGGATGGTGTTCTTTTATCTCTTTTATCGAGAAATAATTCACTTAGTCTGATTAACAAAGGCGTGAAATTGTGAACTTTGTCTGAAACTTTTCATGCACGTTTTCAATATTAATAAACTTATAAACATTGAAGTTGGTCTCTGAATATTAGAGATCTGTTCTTAATGATGTTTACACAGACTACATCAAGTGAAAGATGTGATCACTGTGTCATCAGCAAACGAATGGTTAAATACTGGTGTGTATCAGCGCAATTTTAATTTTTGTTTCCATGTCTGTGTCAGATAACGTTTATCTCACAACAGATAACCGCAGCTCTGGGATCATGTCCATGGCTTCTGGCTTCAACTTGTCTCAAACCACAGACTCCATAAGACTCGGCAGCACACCACACTATGTATCTACCAAAGAGATCACTATCGAAACAGACGCTGCTTACAGAGAAACATAGCAGCGATTTGTTCAGACGCTTCGTGTGCGCGTAGAAATCTGGTTCCTATAATGGAGTACACTTTTTGCAGAAAAGTAGGAACTTACGTTGCTAGCACACCTTGCACCGGTTTAGAATTTTATGGCATCACTGGCGTGTTGGAATAATATTTCAAGTGGTAAATGATTGAAAATTAAACTAAATTGGGGACGCGATGGGGGGAGGGGTTAAAGGAAGCATTATGTACTTTATTTGGATATCGGCTGAG